CAACGAAGCGCTCCTCTGGTTGCATATCCATCGATTTACTGATTGACCACTGGATCACGAGCGCAAGTTCGGCAGACCTCAGCACCGAAATCAAAGCATCGAATCAAGGCGAACTCTAGCTGCAATACGCCGGCTGATCATCAACCCAACGAATCAAACTTATGAGCCGTCAGTGATGTGTTTGATTTCATCTTTTGAAAGAAGGGAGATGTGATGAGAGCTCAAATCATACCACAGCTCACTCGCATTGGGTGTCATGTGACTATTCGGCCTCGCTATCGGCCCTAGCAGTATTGATAGGCTTAATGATTACTGATCTCTATTTCACCCGTTGACTCTGTAAATTGTGTTGAGTCAGTTGCAGTCGACCCGCTCCAGTTCAGTGACTTGTGTTCTATACAAACCAGGGGCGTATAGTCCGAGCACAACGCGTGAAAACTTCGACCCGATCACATCTATCCTCTGGTGCTTGCATTACCGACAGTTCGAATTAGTGTTTGAATCCAGCTTTTGTGGAAGCGTTGATCAGTGCATTCATGCCAGGGACCAACAGAGTACGTATCAGGAAGTGTGACATACCGAGGGGGGAGACAGTGTGTGGTCAGAACCTACATTGTTACGTATACGGTTGATTTGAATTTGGTGAAAACGGGGTAGACAATGCGACTTTTCACGGATGCGACATAGTAGGAGGCTGTCTACGATCAATCCCGCAAATAAACAGTTTTTTCACAGACTAGTCCCGAATACGCTCGTTGAATAAACCGCAAGTGCTGGCCGCTTCGCTGGTTATTAACCCACTCACATGCGTTCGTGTCACACCCTACTTCAGTTGAACGGGAAGGCATTTATTTATCACCGGTGACGACTGAAAAAGGGCGATTCCGTGTGAGACTCGGGTCCGATTTTCGCTCATTATTTAGACACCGGTCAGTGTGTAAAAACAAATGTAATACTCGTGATCGATTGGAAGATTCCCCTAAACCGATCGAAATATGCTGGAAAACGCTACAGTTGTGGTCATTTGTGTAACGCGTTTGACCGGTGAACTACACATCCCCAAAAGCGTTTACTTTAAGCATACGCGCACACACACACTGACAACGGTTCATCCCATATGATGCATTGTTAGTCTTAGTATCCACATACACGAACTGTAATCGCATAACATAACATATCTGAAATGGTGTTCTGAATCAACAGAGGCTTACGAGAGAAAAGTTCATCTGTAGCATGCATCAGTATTGCCAAGGAAACTGTGATCAGACCAGCTTGGACTGATAGATACATTTCCAAATTCTTACCTCAAAATGAATTGACGAAAACGAAAACAAACAGCCACAAGGTCAGAGCGGCTATCGTTGATCTTTCCCATCTCTTCCTCCCAGTTTGTTTTATTTAATGCCTTGTTATTCGAGAGCAATAAAATCGCATTACACCGCAAACGGAACACCGAATACGTTCCCGCACTCGAGCAGTTCTTCGGATTTTCAAACCAGAAAAACTGAGGTCATCATGCATGCCAAACCAATTTTAATTGCAAAATCGATTACGATTTTCATCACCAAACTACCTACAATATTGTGGTGATTGGTGACCATTCGTTTGATGAATCCATTGAACTCAAGTTTTCAGTTTTAGATCGAGAAAAATGCTCTTTATGTCAAACAAAACATAAGTTGCACATGAAAATGTGCTATTGGCGATTTTACTATTCAATCACTACATCCCTTTTTGATGAAACAATGACTGCGGGCTTGGAGGTCAAGTTGATCGTTAATTCTCTTGTTCGGCCGATTATCCCCGTTTACACATTTATGTCAATTTATGTCAATAATAGATACTGCTGCTGCTGCCGATGATGATGATAATGATTATGAAAACCACAGTGGTAACTACCTCTCCAATAGTTCGTGCTAAACCCACATTTTCGATGTTCTTTGACGCGTTTTACTAGGTGCCTTGCAGCGTGACTTGCAATGATAGCATTAGTAGTAGCTAATAAACATATATATCATAGTGTCTAACAGGAATTATACTCCTTAAGTCCAATGAAGGTTGTAGATAAAACGGGTGCCTATTACATTTCAGCTTTTCATTTCCGGTTTGTTCGTGCACATCACCACAACCTCATAGCGATTCACAACCGGACTGCCAACAATTATGATGGAACGAATTCTAAATAAGAAATTTATTTTGGGTGCTACCAGGTTATTTGAACCGGTCCAATCGTGCACATCGATAATCTCCGATAGATCCCCTTTATTGACGAAGGGGAAACAACTGTTTCCATCCTCATTCTTCAATCATTTTTTTTCACTTCTGATAACACTTTAGATTTCTGTTTCTGCTTTCAGGTCAAAGAAGGTGGAAGAGCAGTGATCAATCAATACACCCTGTACGCCACAGATCCGGACACCGAGGAGAAGGATATCGTCATCCAGATCATTCACGCTCCCCGATGGGGTCATATAGGGATTGCGGACCCCGTGGAAACTAGCACTACGGTTGCCCCTATCAACAGTGCCACGGACATAGTCGTAGCCGGACGGAAAGATGTGACACAAACTAATGACACACAACCCATGGTGGAATTGAAGCACACTCTGAGTTTCACCATGGAAGCAGTGAAACAGGGACGTGTGTACTATGTGAATTCACGCCATGCGGATGGGCAAGAATCACTGGAAGATGTGTTCAGTGTCCGGGCATACGACGGCAGCTTACAATCGCCGCACACTGTCGAAGTGAAGGTAGCCATTCAACCGACAAACGATGAAGTGCCTCAGGTACGTCTGTTGAAACACATATCAGTGACTGCTGGCTCCAGACGAATTCTCACTCCATTCTTGTTCAGTGTGAGCGATCGTGATGTTCCTCGAGACCGGTTGCAAATCCAGTTCACCCAGTTGCCTATCTACGGCAATCTAACTGTCTATTGGCAACATGGAGAGAAGTATACCATCACTAAGGAAAGTCCCCCCATTACCGAGTCATATTTGGGTATGATGAATGTAATATATGTGCAAAACAAATCTTTGCTTAATCTACCCACGGATAGTAATCTACCACCAGGATCATTGTTGACCGTTGATCACTTTACGGTTTCTGTAAATGATGGAAGTCATGTGGTGGAACGCCAAGCTCAATTGCTTATCCGACCTCCAAATCTGCAACCCCCGACGATGCGAGTTGATCCAGATGCGGTGGATGGAATAGTACTAGAAGGTCGATCTTGGACACGGTTAGATCATCGACCAGGTGGTCTGATCATTACCGACAATGACACAGCCGATGATGACCTAGTTCTAACCTTGGTTGAGACACCCAAATACGGAATCATTCAACGTTTGCCTCGGCTGGACGGAAACGATGGTGTGGAAGTGTTGGATTTAGTTGAGGACGCTTGGGATTTAGAAGAGGCTCGAGTGGCCGAGGACCCCCAAGCACTGAGTCGTTTATCCCTGGCTGGCAGTACTGGGGGTCCAAAGGCAGTAAAGGCCTTAAAACAAGGGGATCGATTCACCAAGCGGCAGATCGATGCTGGACGAATACAGTAAGTTTATCCGGGTATTTTCCAACTAACTTCATTTTCACTTTTGTTGAATGCTTGCCATACTCAGATTAAAATCAAAGCCAGTCTTTTAACTTCACCAATGCATAGTATCACTTCTTCAGTTTGATGAACCTCCGGTCACTGCTGACAGAGCAATGTAACTGTTGAAAAAGAAAACAGAATGAAACAATATTTATAATAATTTGATTTTTATGAAAAGATCATTTTTATCTATGATATTACAATTACATTTTAGACACCAATAATACAACTGTATTCTTCTAGCGCCACTACCGCCATTAGTTTCCCATATTCAAATGGAGCCGGACTATGAAAAGGAACCAGAACAAAGGTTGACACCGACTTCGATCTTCAGCTTACAATTCAAAAGACTCAATTGTAATTATATTCCACAATATAGCCTTTCGCTTTAATCAGTTCAACCTATTGTTATATGCCACCTTACAAAAATAAATGAACCGTTAGATGTTACTTTTGGACAACAAATTCCGGTCGGGATTCGGTACTTAAATGAGTTGCTTTTGTGCGCACAAATGCTCGATTGATACTTTGTGTTCAATGACCGCCCACATTTGCTTGACATACACTCTGTATAGTGTTCTGTACCTGTCAGAATATGATATTAAACAGATCTAAATGCCACAAATCATTCTGTGGTCAAAAAGATTCTCAATCTGCTGCATTCGCTTAATTATGCCAAAACAATTACACACTAACCTGACTCGTTTGGCGTCCCAGAACTTGGCTGGGTTGTCAGTTTCCATATTCACACAACCGCGATTCATATGTGTGTACAGATATATAAACAAGACCGTATAACCCAAAAACAATAAGTTTATATATATATATATAAAGTACGCTGCCGTAATGCTTGCAGATTCTTCCAGTTTTCAACATTCCTCTGACTACAATAACTCTCGAACTTCTACTCAGACACAAAAACCAAACGGTATAAACTGATCTCCTTTCCCATTTTAACACTCACATGTCGCTCACAACTTGTAAGCCTGTTCCACTGGAAAAGAATTATCTAAAATCAGCCGGACCAACAGCCGACTGATAAAGCGAGTTTATTTATGTTTTGTTTTAAATTTGTGCACATACTCAGTATTGATAGAGAGAGAGAGAGATCGAGAAAG